CTGAAAAAAAAAAACAAAAAAAAAAAAAAAAAAAAAAAAAAAAAAAAGGGAACAGAGCTGTATGGTGGTGGCAAATGCCTTGAGATTGAGACAAGCATATCTCTTTGTGAGTTCGAGGCCAGCCTGGTCTACACAGCCAGTTCCAGAACAGCCAGGGTTATTACAAAGAGAAACCCTGTCTTGAGAAACAAACAAAAAGGAATGGAATATACATTTGTCATGAAAACTAATGGTAACTAAATGAAGGTATCCAACAAGGAAAAAGAAGGTTATTGGGGAAGGGGACCAATAAGAACCAAGTATGAAACATGTGTATGACAATACCACAAGGAAATCTATTTTGCTTTTGTGTGTATGTTGTGTGTTCGTTGGGGGGGGGGGCAACTCAGAACTCATTTAAGGCCAGAACCTACCACTGATTATTTTAGGTAGGCTTCCAACTTGTGTATATCCTGTCTCCGAAGTGCTAGGCATGCACCGCTTGAAACCCGTTAGTTTGTATGCTAACTTTAAAAAAAAATTAAATTCTGGGGGCTGGAGAGATGGCTCAGCGGTTAAGAACACTTCAGAGGTCTTGAGTTCAATTCCCATCAACCACATGATGGCTCACAGCCCTCTGTGTAATGAGATCTGGTGCCCTCTTCTGGCCTGCAGGGACACATGCAGACAGAACACTGTATACATAATAAATCTTAAAAAGAAATTCTGCCAGGCGTCGCACACCTTTAGTGCCAGCACTTGGGAGGCAGGCAGATGATCTCTATGAGATCTACCTAGGACAGTTATGGCTATGTAGATAGACCCTGTCTCAAAACAAAACAAACAAAAACCCAACAAAGGAATCCTGTCTCTGAGCCTTCTCACCCCGCCCCCTCTGCTAGGGTCAAACTTTCAGACCCCGAGAAAGCATTCCAACACTGAACCACATGCCCAATCAGTCCTTGCTGGCTCTTTAAACAAGTGGGTGCTGTCAGGAACATCCATCCACAGAAGGCCTCTCAAGCCACTGAAGAAAACGCAGTCTCGATCCTCAAAGGAGGCTTCGTTTTGTTTTCCTTCTAAACAATAAATGTGAGCCGGGCGGTGGTGGCGCACGCCTTTCACCCCAGCTTTTGGGAGGCGGAGGCAGAGGCGGAGGCGGGCGGGTCTCTCTGAATTCGAGACCAGCCTGGTCTACAGAGCGAGTTCCAGGGCAGCCAGGGCCACACAAAGAAACCTTGTCCCGAAAAACTGAAGAAAAAAGAAAAGAAAAAGAAAGAAAAGAAATATGGCAAGAGTTGGGACCTCAGGACTGGAGGGCGCCTAGCGGTTTGCCTGCCAGTGTCTCGGAAGTCGGGCTCGGTTTCCGTCACAGGGCCGAGGAGCCCCTATCCCACACGTGTTTTGAATGCCAGGAGACAAGCCACCACTCAGAAACCAGGAAAACAACGGGACGGCTCCGCAACGCGCA